AGTCTTTGCTAGATTTTGGCATTTAGCAACTGGCATACGGTTTAATGTGAAGTCAACAACAACAACAACAACAACTCTAAGCAAAAAAGTGAGGTGCAGAAGAAATGAAGAACCAAAGAGCGCCCCAAGACAACAAAAAGAAAACTCAACTCTGCCCACGCCCATGCTGAAACTTCACTCAACAGTACAGTAATAGTGTCGATCCATTTCGTTCTTTGTTGGCCCCGTAAGCGTGGGCGCTACACCATAAATCGAACACAACCTCATTAGTGCCGGTACCGGCACTAATGAGGGATTGGCCAGCCCTCAATAGTGCCGTTTTGGCACTATTCGCAATAGTGCCGGGTGCCCGATTTAGTGCCGGTGAACGCTCTGTGCACGTACCGGCACTAAAAGGGTCCCTCGACTGTATTGCAGTGACGAACTACGGAGGAACAAGAAGTTTCTTTATGTTTTCCTTGGGAGTGTGGTAGATTGGTGGAGATTCATGAAGATTCGTTTTGGGTGTTTGAGCGTTATGCGTGACTTGATGCCGTGATGGACGAGCTCAAGCACGCCCCCGACGGATACAACACGTAAACAACACGTTTCCCAACACGTTTTTACCCATCCACGCCCCGTCATGGGCCACCCGCTCTAAACTCCAAGCACATAGAACTGGACCACCCGAATTATCGATCAGCTGTCGCGACTTCGGTGGAGGAACGCTGCTTGGATGATTACTGGGGCGACGCCTACTGTGACCCCACGAACAACCACCTTTCGTGCGGCTACGATGGCGGAGGCGTGCGTGGATTTCCACTTTACTCGACTTACTATGTAGTATGTATGGTCGGTGTATCCCGCGGGCGCGTGCCAATGCGTGGAACTTTCATTGCACCGTCTGGGATGTCCTGATGTTCCCCCCAAGACTTTGGAGTCAAGCATCAAGCATGGTCTCAATCACCAGTTACCAACAGTGCCTGAAGCAGCTCTGATAGAAGCAAACGATCTTCCCATGGCAGTGTAGGGCAAATCACCATCTACCTCCTCTCCCTGGCACAACGCAAGGCTGTTTCAACCCTCGAACCATTCCTGTTGCCCGGCCTCTTTCTCGCCTCCCTTCCTCTGTGAAAACCGCTCGTGCATGTGCTCTAGTGCTGCCCGTGTTCGTGTTACCAGCTCCTGAATACGAATGCGGGCTCGGCGGCTTCGCCTGTGAGGACCCAGCCTGCCTTGACCCCAAGGTTGTTGCTGATTCCCCGCCTGCACGGGGAATTGGTTGACTATCGGAGACGGGTTTTGCGACACGGAAAACAACACCCCTTCCGTAAGAAGTAGTCTACATTGCTTCTGTGGGTTCGCTAGACGTTTCAAATCTCGTTGTTTCATTCCCATACGTCGTCAGCACAGACGAACAAGCCCTTGAGAAAGTCATAAGCCCTGCCGTCATTTACGCGTGATTCGTTCACGTTGACATTCAGAGCACTGGGGAAAGTGACGTTAGGCACACACCGGCCGTTGCAATGTTTAGTTTCATGTCTATTCAATTGTCCTCCAGCTGTCTGTCTGTCTATCTATTCAACCGACTGCCTCACCTGACGTGCTCCCCCCCCCCCCCCCCCCCCCCCCGTGGCTCGCNATGTCTCTCTCTCTCTCTGACTCTCAGTGTGGTTACGATGGGGGCGACTGCTGCTTGTGCAGCTGCAGCGGAACAAGTTGTAGTGTTGGTGAGTTACACTGTTTGGACCCCGATGCCTACACGGCGTTCTGCGGCTGCGAAGCACCGCCATTTGCTGCGTTGCCTTGCTCAGCGGACGTTCAGCGAGCGTGGGTGGTAGGAGACTCGGGCGTAAGTACAGGACCTCGCAGCAGCGGTCAATTGTTCCGGAGGGTCTTTCGAGGTGGATTGGAAAGGAACCATAGCAGTCGGTGAACTGTTTGACATCGTCGACGGGACCGCGATTACCATGTCGGGCGAAGGCTCGACTGCCGTTATTGACGGAAACGGGTCGACCCGGCTGTTCATCGTCGTCAACACTTCCCTGCACTTCAACCATGTGAACATCAGCTCGGGTGCTAGCGGGGTTGGAGGGGCTGTCGCTGCAGCGGGGTCCAGCCTGGCGTTCAATGGCACCAATTTCGTGGGAAACAGTCAGTGCTTGTGGCAACGGGGGCGCCATTTACGTCTCAGAGAGCTCATACGTGTCCTGTGTGGGGGGCGGAGTGTTCGCCGACAACAGGGCAGCTATGCACGGCGAGGCCTTGTTCGCGACCGGCACCTCGGAGGTCTCGTGTGGGGGCTCATGGCTAAACAATACCGCTGGGAACAGCGGCGGCGTTGTGAGAATCCACCAGGTCTCGGCCATGTCGTGGAAGGATGAAGCGGTTTTCGCCTACAACACGGCCTCAAAGAACAGCGGTTCCGTGAGTCTTTACAACCAGTCGAGCTTGTCCTGGAGTGGAACAAAATTTCGCGGAACTCTGCGGTTTACAGCGGAGGAGCCATCATCGCGGCGAAATCGAACATTTCTTGGGACGCCGCTAGTTGGCGCCCGCAGTCAAGAAACATACTATATAGCTCGATCTGGGTCACACAATAAGAAATGTCTCAATAAGAAACACAGCGGCGACCGCTGCCCTACTATATAAGAAACGAAGGTTGACGGGGGAGTCTGTCGAATAAGAAACTATATGTTTGTAAACTGATGGAGATTGCATGTCCTACAACTAATAGGGTGCGACACACAAAACGCCCGACTACCCAACAGCAGTACCCAACACCTTTCGTCTGCACCTTCCCAACATAACATATATGAGACACACAAGACAGCTACAAAACTGATTTGTTGAGCCTGTTACCCACAGGGGAGATGTCCCTATATGCTGTCTGGGAAATCGTAGACACACAGGTAGTTTTCTCTGACGCTATGATTCCATTGTTAATCTGTCTCTGACTCTTTTCTATGATAGAGATGGACTCGTTGTGTCATATTAAGAAAAATAAAAATAAAAACCACAGCTCTCTCGCTCTTTCCCCCTCTCCCCCGACCCCCCCCTCCCATAGTGCAATATTATTACGACGAGGGGGGAGTGTGTTTTTTTGCGGCGCCCCCTCCGGCCCCCTGCAGGAGGGCACGTGGATTGCAATCCCCCGCACCTATGCCACCCCC